CACTTTCTATCTTCCTCTGCAATTGGTAAGCCAAGAACTGTGTACAGTATTGTCAAAAAACATAGGATTACCTCATGCTTTCTCTGTTATTCCAGTTTTCCTTCTATGCAGTGAACCAGATAATAATTGTGTTCTTAAAATGTATCAGGCTCTGAAGCCTGTGCCTAGAAACCCATTTCATAATATGTCAAACAGGATTAAATGGACAGTTTTTTAAATCAGAAACTGTACTAGTTATTATAGGGCATTTGTTGGGGGGTACCAAGGACTGAACTAAGGGGCACTTGACAACTGAGCCCTCTTTTGTATTTCATTTAGAGATAGGATCTCACTGAGTTGCTTAGTGCCCTGCTTTTGCCAAGGCTGGCTTTGAATTCACAATCCTCCTGCCTCAGCCTCCCGTGCCACTGGGATTATAGGCCCGCGCCACCATGCCTGGTGGGGCATTGTTTTATGACAGCTGATCATGACCCATTACAGTGGACAGTAAACACCATTTGAAAACATAAATAAAATTAAAAAGTAGTAGAGTGCTACTAATATTTGGAGAAGTCCTTATGGCGTGTGCACGCGAGCACACACACACCTTATACCGGTACATATGGGTTGAACATAAAATGTATCTCCTTCTGGGAGTTCTAATAAAAAATGTATCAAATCCATTTTTTTAGGGCAAAGTCTTCTATACTTTCCTCAAGATAAAAATCATCTGGGAATCATGTTAAAAAAAAAAAAATCTTGGCCTCAACCCAGACCTGCTGAATCAGAATATCTAGGGGAGAGAAAAGGATGCAGAAATCAGTATATTTAACAAATGCAACAGCTGATTCTTATTGTCTAACAGATCTGGGAAACACCACTATGAATGAGTTGAGATTCAAAAGGTTAATAATAATCTAGACCTAATCTGATAAAGAGTTCCCCTTCAAAAAAAAGTACCCAAACTTATTGAGGAGATAAAGCACCTTAGCCTTAAATTTAGACAAATTTAAATAATAGATATCGCTACATCCTGGACTTACATCAAGGGCCAAATGTAAGATAGAAATAAATCTAGAGTAACACAGTATCCCTCCTATTCCATAGTAGCAAATCAATTTTTTTTCTATCATCAAGTATTTCTTCATCTTTCTAAATAAAATCACTGAATTATAAATATTAAGATTAAGTGTAAAGTACACTTCACAGTTTAGCAGAATCCATGGCAATTCCCCAAATCCTGCAGTACATCTGGAGATGAGGGACCTTTTTCACTGATGGAAATGGTAAGGTGTGAGGTGAGCATGCCCTAGGTTAGCATCTTCCCCGCCTATTCCACCAGAGCTGCCCGTTCTATGGGGTGTGGTGTTAATCTGAGCATTATGGAAATACAGGATTTAATTTCCACAGAACCATATGTAACCTATGTTTGCTGTTATACTATGGCAACTAGAAATAAGTGTCCTGCTAATATTAAACCAAATGGACTTAATTGACTTTGTTTTCCACTTAGATAAACACTGGGAAAGCCAGAAAATTGTGAAGAGTGTTGTGTATTGGGCTGGGGCTATAGCTCAGTTGGTAGAGTGCTTGCCTCACATGCACAAGGCCCTGGGTTCAATCCCCAGAACCACAAAAAAAAAAAAAAAAAAGAGTGTTGTGAATATAAGCTACATTTACACTGAGTATACAAAACATCTCTTAAAGGTCTATTTTGATCATAAAATTTAAAAACATACCTTCTGTTTCTTAGTGATGAGACATGAAAGGAACTATCAAAGCCAGCTGCCATCCGTATGAGTCAGATGTGCTCTCAGTTGCTATAAATAAACTACCTGCTGCAGTACCACCCAGTGTGAGCACACTTTATTATCCCAAAGCATGTTCCAGGTAATTGTGAAAAAACGAGGGCTGAGTTCTTATGTTATCAGTGTTTTTCACAATTGATAGCACCAAAAATCTTCAGTGATACCCTGATTTCAGTAAAAAAACAAAATCATTTTGTTTTATTTGAAACAAAGTAACATCATTAAGAACTTAAAGTATATTTTAATTGAAATAAATACCATGGATCTCTTTTGAGATTATTGGACCTTTTGTGCTTTCCATACATAGAAACACAAATGAAAAAAAAAAATTAAGGACAACCTGAAATCATCTAGCCCTTTATATGACTGGATAATTCTGTTGTCTCTCTATAATAAGTTATAGTGTACAGATATTAGTGGAATTATATATGTTTAAGTTTCTACTTTAAATTAAAACTGAAGCCTCATGAAATGTCTAACATAATTATTTTAAAAGTAGAGAATCCTATACCTGTTTGTTCCTTTTACCTTTGTACCATGTATTTGCAACAAAATTTGCACCATATATTTGTCTTGGGTATTTAAAAATATAAAATATGCAATTTTTTAAAGTGAGAGAGAGAGATCTTAATAAAAAGGAAAAGGAAGATGATTTGGGAAACTATGTTTGATTTTGCCTATAGATTCAGTAGGAAGGGTTGCAAAGCTATTGAAAAGAATGAGAGAGAAGGAAGTAGAGATGATTCTAGGATATTTATAGTATGTCTAATATTTTATCCATTTTAAAAGAAATCGTATAATCAACTAGATCTGTAATGCCTCCAGAAGTCAGAAATAAACACCAGGATTTTTTATTTTCCTCAACAATTTTTAATTGCCTTAAAATAGTAATTCTATATTTCCTATTTCCATCTTATATTTCAAGAAATGTTTGCAAACTAGCACTTTCTAAAGAGCATTTCCACTTGCAACTGACTTAACTGCCTTTTAAGACAGTACAGTTTTGTAGGAAAGAGAAGGAGGCCTAAAAATATCCTTGTGGCACTGGATATTAAGGGTGTGGATATTAACTTTGGGAGTTGAAACAGATCTGGAGATTGTCTAATTCAAGTTGTTGCAGGAGGACATGCCTTACCCATAAAATTACAAAAACTTTAGTTATTATATCATACCTGCTGCTACCAAATATTAAGACAGTATCCTCAAAAATACTCAACAAGTAGATGGATGAATTCTGAAAAGTTAGAGAAGCTGTTCATAGAAGAAGTTTCCAGACTTTATCTCATACATTTTTCTCTTTTTATAATCCTTCATTAACAAATTTCTCCATTCATTTAGTTGAACTTCTTCCGTTTCCAATTATAGCCCATTTATTCTTATTCCTCAAGAAAGAGACTATTTAAGCAATATCTTCCTTGTATTCATTTCTTTACATTTATGGTACCTATCACAATGTTTTACCTAAATTCTCTTTCTTTCTTTTTTTTTTTTTTTTTTTTTTCTCTTTGTACTGGGGATTGAAGCCAGGAGGGATTTACACTGAGCTATATCCCAGTCCTTTGAAAAGATTTTTTTAATTTGAAACAGGGTCTTGCTAAGTTGTTGAAAGTCTCGATAAATTACTGAGGCTGGCCTCAAATCTGCAATCCTCCTGCCTCAACTTATAGGCATGTTTACCTGGATAAATAATCACTTAAATGGATGAATACTTAATATGTATTTCATTACTTTTTATTGTGATAATAAACATATAGTAGGAAATCTGCCTTCTTAAAATTTTAACTATACAATACAGTGTTGATAATTATGCAGATACAGAACTCTAGAACTTTTTCATTTTGCCCGTCTGTAACTCTGTATCTGCTGAACAACCTCCCCTCACATACCCCCAGACCCTGTCCACCACTACTCAACTTTCTGCTGTTAAGAGTTTGACTACTTTAGATACTTTGTAAGTGGCATCTTGGTGTCTTTGTCCTCCTGTCATTGTTCTTTACCTTTAACTCTATCATTTCATTCCTTTACTTATTTAGCTTTTTTATTTACTCAGTTTTGTGTTCTATATTGGACCTAGTTTTTCACACCCCATTTAAACATCAAATTGAATAATATACTAAAAGAATAAGGTGTGTGTTTCCATGATTCTTACAAATTTAAACCAGTATTAATATATCTGAGAAAAAAAATTAGCCTTGCCCTATACCACATGGTAAAATCTCTATAATCACTGTGATTCCTAGATCTTTCCATCGGAACATCACATTTTGACATGAAGGTCTCCTCCATTTTTAGTGCTTAGCAAAATCTCAAGTATGACCTGTTAACTAGAGTATCCTCACCATAGTCAGGAAAGGGAATGGGAAAGGTTTAGGGGTAGCTCAAGTGTGCAGTGGGAAATAGGCTAATACTTAATTATGCCTATAGGCCATATTAGTGGATAATACAAAAATATACATATCTGATCCAGGAATGCTACATCAAAAACTATATACTTTGATAATATCTGGATACATTTTCAAAGGATAGATATACTCATTTTTTTGTCTAGAATTAAATACATGAATGTTTAAATTAATATGTATTTCATTACCCTTTATTGTGATAGTAAATAAATAACATGAAATCTACTTTTGGGAATAAGATTATTAATGGGCATACTGCATATAGAAGGAATCGAAAGATAAAAAAGAGACATTTTACTTTTCATTTTACGCTTTATGTTTTGTATTGCTTGTTTACTTTTATGGTTTTTTACTTTACATGTAAAAATTTAAAATATCTGAAGATCTCATTTTTTTATTGGTTGTTCAAAACATTACATAGCTCTTGACATCTCATATTTCATACTTTAGATTCAAGTGGGTTATGAACTCCCATTTTTACCCCGTATATAGATTGCAGAATCACATCTTGATTCTGAAGATCTCTTTGACCAAAAAAGAAAGTTTTTATCACAAGGTAGTACTTTCACCCACAATTAGTATGTTTTTCTTCCAGCGTTTGAAACATATGATATGTCTTAAGACAGATTTGTTCATTTTCGATATTGATAGTTGAATGGAGGGGAAAAGCATTACTCCACAAGCCCCAAAAGTTTGCTCTTAGGATGTGAGAGAAGGCTGGGGCAGGGCGGGTGGGGGGAATAGGAAAGAAGCTCTGACATCTTCAAAGTGACTTCACTCTGATGGATCACTCTATTCTCTTCCCTTCCAGAGGAGATTTGCACTCTCGTTATCGCTGAGACTTTCCCTGAAGATGCAGGGATTTTCACCTGCTCCGCAAGAAATGATTATGGATCAGTGACCAGCACTGCCCAGCTAGTTGTCACCTCAGGTATATGGAGAATCTAAAATGCCTTGGTTCTGTTCCCTGGGTATGGTTCCTGAGGCAGAATGCAATTGTCCCTGGAAGATGGCTCAGCTGTTGGAAATGCTGGCTGCTACCACAACAATCAGATGTTTCATTACAAAACAGAAAGCTTTGGGGGAGGGAATGAAGGGGGTGGAGGCAGAGTTGACAGATAATGACAGTGGAGCATCTGAGCACTCATGGGGCTATTTTTTTAAGTCATACCATATTGGCCTTGGAAACAATGGGCGGATTTCCTAACATCAAGCTGACCTAGAATTATATTCACCTCAGAAATCAGAGGTGCGGTCTCTGTTCTCAGCAGTGCCAACACATGAGATCTAGAGGTACTTTTACAAATATTTCGTTATCTAATCCACTCTTGAAACTCCTGAAAAGATGATCCAAGATAATTTGGAAAGATCTTAGAAATCAAATTCCATTCATACTATATATCAATGATGGTATATAACTTTGGTATGAAAAATAAAACTATGCATTATAGTATTGAAAACAATATTTTAAAATATATGGGCTTTCTAGGGCTGGGGTTGTGGCTCAATGGGCCTCACACATGTGAGGCACTGGATTCAATTCTCAGCACCACATAAAAATAAATAAACAAAATAAAGATATTGGGTCCATGTGTAACTAAAAAAAAAAATTAAAAAAAACATATGGATTTTCTAAACTCAAAAATTTACCACTTGAGATTGATGACTATTTTCTACTTTACCAACGACCTTTCTTGTAATTATCTCATTTCTGTTAATCATCTTACAGAGATTTTTAAGCTATCTCCTTGACCAGGCTTGGCACTTGGTAATGCACATAGAAGGCCATCAATATGTGGGTGGCTGGTTGTAGGAGACACAGACTTAAAGAGAAAAAATGAATCTCCCTTTGATTCCTAGAAGAGCAAGAACTTGGTGCTAGGTGGCAGCAGAGGTTTGGGGATATGAGTGTGGCAACAATAAGTGGTTTTTCATCTTCAAAAAGAAATGGAGGTTTCACCTTAATGGGGAAGTGGATAGTATGAGCTCTTGAAGTATTCAAAGGAGACCCCAGTGTCATAAATTGAGTGACATAATAGTAAGTATCCCAGCATTTTGATTTTGAGTTGGTTTAAAGACCGTCCACCAAATGGCCATAGCAATATCGCTCCAACAACAGCAAAAAAAGTGGCAACAATTGGTGTTTTCCATTTCTGTCTGGGGTAAATCAACAAGAGGCACTACATAGCAAACAAATATTTCAGTTTACCTCAATAAGGTTTTTGGCAAGATGAAGACATGATCTCAATATACCTCTGTTTCATTAAGGGTAACAGCTAAAGAAACTCTCATACTGAGTTACAGCTGAGGCCATCACCCAACATGGAAAAAAACTTTCCCACGAGATCATGGCACATTTCACCTGGACTCAAAATTTTACTTTCTTAATTTTAAAATAGAATGAAAATCCAAATAAGACCTTTATAGGTTGAGCTACTGTCAGTAAACAGTTAGGCTGGCCAATTAGATCCCTGAGTTGAAAAGTAAGAGGACCAGGCATTAATGATTGACATTGTCTGTATTGTTCTTTTCTTCTTCTTCTTTTTCACCAAGTCCTATCTTTAGTTCGTATTTGAAATTTGTTAATGAATCAGTAGGTGGTTTCCTACAAGTGAGCTCAGTTGGGAAATGAGACAAGTCATGCTCATTCAAAACAAACAAGGGAGACCCGGGGTTTCCAGATGGCAGTGTATCTGCATCCAATGAGATCAGCACCACCACCTCTTCTCTAACAACGGGACATCAGGGATTCTCGGAAGACTGATGACACTGTGAAAAGAACCTGCTGAACTAGCAGCCTCTCACTTTTTTTTTCTCCTTTTCCCCTTCCTTAGCCAACACTGAAAACTGTAGCTACGACTCAATGGGCGAATCCAACAACAGTCACTTCCAACACTTTCCGCCTCCCCCTCCCATCTTGGAGAAGAGTTCCTTTGAGTTGGCTTCGAAGAAACCATCCGAGATCCCGCAGGTGAACAGCCCTGCCTTAGGACTTAGCATGGCAGCCCTTCAAATGCAATTCGGTTCTGCGGAGAGGGAAACTAACGGAGTCCATCCCAGCCATGGAGTAAATGGACTGATTAACGGCAAAGCTAACGGTAATAAATCTCTTCCGACACCAGCTGGCCTGATTTCGCCCACAAAGGAGCCACCACCTCTGCTTGCCAAACCCAAACTGTGAGTATTCCTGCATGGTTTTATAATATTTTCCACACTCCTGCTAAATTTCTTCTCTGGTTAGAAAAAACCTTTTGCCTGGACCATGTGGCAAGTTGTCCCTTCTACAGGCAAGTTGTCCCCGACTGGATGTGACCATGCTTCTAAGTGGGGTCCTCCAAAAAATACAAAAAAAAAAAAAAAAAAAAAAACTAAACTAAAAGTAAGGTAAATGGGAAGCTTGGTTAAACCTGCCCTTTGCTGAAAGCTATAAATGGTTGCGGCTGTGAAAATATCTGTGAGTGATATGGCATTCCCGTGTCTAGCCAAGGATGTGGCCTCTCCCCAGAGGGGACAGAGAAGGGGATCTAAACTGAGTCCTCTACTAAGTACTTAGCCCTGTACTAAGATATTCCTGAACATTTTAAGTGTAGGAAGAAAGGAGATCTGACATAGATAAGAGGAGAAAATAAAATTGAGGATGGACATTCAGCATGCAGATCCTGACATGGGCAACGAAACCAGAGAGAGTCAGGCTTGTCAGGAAGAAGTGTGCCCTTCGCAACACAGCCTACTTGGCCCAGGAATTCCATGGACTGCATATTTCCACCTTCATGTTTGATTTCCATTATTTTCTTAGGATAATAAAGCTTGCATGAGCTGTTTCCATTGGCACCACACAGCAGAGAGTTGTTATGAATGGAGCCATTACAATGTCAGGGAGAGACAGAAATATATTAACTCAAAAGGTTCTATCGTAGCATAACAGACCTTGAATTACTGCCCTGACAGGGGTCAGTGGAAATGTAAGAGTCATACAGAATGTATATATACTCTACCAGTTCATATTTCCACGAGAATGAATTTGCCAGAATCTAGGAAAGCCCCTTCTATTTCCCCATGATGTCTGGTGTTTTTGATTTGGGGCAGAAAGGATTTCTGTATGCTATGTTTCTGAATACTATGTTTCCCTAGTACGGAAGAGTCTATGATTTTTCTCTCTGTGATCAGCTCATTTGTTAGAAACATTAGAATTCACAAGCTATTCCAACTAGAGTAATGCCTCCCATTTGTACAGCACTTTATTGTTTAACCAAGAAATTTCGTGAACATTCATAGACTAACAAAATAGCAAACCATCTCAAAGAACACCTTAAATTAACAAATGGCTGATTTTATAAAAGTAGACTTCTGGACAATCTTATATTGTAGTTTTTTAAAAAAAAAATCTACCTATTACTACTCAGCGCTTGATTTTGTGTTCTGTTCTGGCTCTTTTAAAGCAGCATGGCTACTAACTATGCAGTTTGTATGCAGTTGTGTGAAAGGTTAACATTTAAGACCTATTTCCAGCTCCACTGAGAGGCTGAACAGGTAAAATGAGCTAAAACATGGCGGCCATAAAAGAGATTTACACTCTTATTGCACCAGCCATAAAATTAATTGCCACTGCTGTCTTCTTTCATCTTTGCATCTTGACTATGTATTTGCAGTGCTTTTAATGAAACAAGGGACCTGCTTTCCTAGGAGAGAAAAAGGGAATGTGTTTAGTGACCAGGACTGTGCTCTTGATTAAGTGAAGTGTATCTACTACAATGGCCATCATAAACTGGATATAAATCACAGGAGAGTAAACACGAGGAGCTGTTAACAGGCATTTACAGCCCTTCTTATCTCAGGCATTTCAACAGCTCTTCAGCTTTTAGCTCTGAAACAGTGATGTTGTGTGTATGATGGTGGGTGGGGCGGGGTGGGGGGGTGGTCCTCTACAAAAGACAGACAGAACAATTACATGGGTATTAAGGAGATGAGTAGCTTCAGCTCAAGTTTGAAGAGTGACATCATGATTTGCTTATGAGTCAGATTTTCAATATAAAATAAAATGCAGGACACAAAGGGACTTTGGTATTTGATATCCAAAAAAAAAAAAAAAGAGGGGTCACAGCTCTTTCATGAGGATATTTAGAGAAAGGCAGAACCAGCCCCAAACAACACCTTGCAACTTAGAAGTAATATTTGCATATACCAGATTTTACTGCTGTTGTCTTCAAGTCTTTATGTATTTAAATATTTCCTTAGAGTATGACTTAATAATTTTCATATTGTATAAATTACCTGCCATTTAACTGGGTAATATGTAATATTACATATTAAGTTTACATAATAATAGTATACATTGATTTTTAAGTTTTCTTATGAGTTATAATATTTTATTGGACTTTATTTGATTACCCAATAATTGCATGCTGATGTGAAAATGTAAGCAATACAGAAGTCATTAAAGAAAAAGCTCATACTCACAGCTTCCCCTCTTACACCTCACCTTCTTGGTTGGATCTGAGGTCTTCCTCTCCTTCCTCTTTTATCAAGGTCTTTTTTAAAGGTTTGGTCATTGTTTTAACATTGTGTGCATTGATAGGGAAATGCTTTGGAATGGCATCTGCAAATACTTTGAGCAGTAGTAAAGGACAACAAGTAATTGCCAAGTGAAATACTTACACATGACTGTTCCTTTTCAAACACTGGGGGAAAATGGGATTTCATTTTTCTTTTATGGTCAGCAGTGAAAACCTATAGGTTGCTCTAATCTTTATTCATCCGCCTATGATTTTATTCCCTTTCACGTAAAAGAAGGTTTCTATTTGAAGGCCTTTATGGCCTTTTATGCCTTGTCATTGTTGGTAACCAAACTTATAGGAAACAATTAAGAGGGGAGAAATAATAGGAATGAAAGTATTTACTCTCACAATGAATTCATCTGAAAATGGTGTTTTGGCAGATTCCTGAAGAAAAAGATCTGTATGTAAAATTAGGTTCTGCTCAAGTATAAGTGGGGCATAATTAAATGTAAGCCATTTAGTAAGTACCCAAGGCCCTGCATCCTGGAATTTTTGGAATGCCTTACCACTCGATGTGAGTGAATAGCACCAAGCTCTGCTCAAGAAAAAAGCAGTAATTTCTGTGATTCAGTGATGCTCATAATTTTCCATCACAGTACAAAAGAAGCAACATGGTGTGTAAGTCCCACATCTTATCAGAGAAAAAGAAGAGGAATTAGTATAAACCAAGTTAATTGACAGTTCTATTTTTCTCCTTATTCTGAATGCACTGGATAAGTGGGTGGCTGCTCACTCTCTATGAAAGATGCCTAAAGTTTCAGAATAAATCTAGGGCTTCATGTAAAAGTGCCTGCTTCTCTTTGTTCCTACACCACCATCCCCATCACCCCGCAAAAAAAAAAAAAAAAAAAAAAACCAGTCCTTGGAAGGCATGGATAAGTTGGAATTCCTAGGAATAAGCCCTTCTGGGAAAATGGCAAATGTCAGATTTAGTAGGTGATTTGCAAAACAGAGGAAAATGTCATGTTTTCCCATGAGTTCACCTCCTAAGTAAAACCAAATAATACACAAATGACAAAATGCTATTCTCAAACCCCATTCATTTCTTTTTTTTTTTTTTTTTTATGTTCTTGTTGTCTTGTGGGAATTGGTTAGAATCTAAACCTTTAGAAGAAGCAAAATGAGAAATCAAAAGTGAGACCGAGGGTTGGGGTTGTAGCTCAGTGGTAGAGCGCTTGCCCAGCGTGTGTGAGGCACTGGGTTCGATTCTCAGCACCACATATAAATAAATTTAAGATCCATCAACAACTAAAAAAAAAAAAAAAAAAGAAAATTTTTTAAAGTGAGACTGAAGTCTGAAATAAAATTCTTGCACCCAGAAGCAAGAGAGGTCGACAGATAAAATGATACTTGTTTGCCATTACTGGTGCCAGAAATATGAACACAGTCATAAAAGTTCATGCCCTTTTGACTGGGAGAATGATGATGAAGTGGTTTCATTTTTTTTTCCTTTATGCAAAACCAAATAGCTTCTTTTTGCTCTTCCCCAAGTCTCTTAAAAAAAAATGCTCTTATTTCCGATCACAAAAAGGCAAAATGATTTCAGCTTAAATCAGTCTTTCCAAAATCATTGCATTTTACTGCCTTTGCTTCTCTCTTCTTATACCCACTTTCACCCATAGACACCAAATTATTTCTCCAAATCTTGTCTCAATAGAGGTGCATATCTTATAAAACCCATTCAAACTAAGCTATCAGGGATTTTGGTGCCACTTAGTACAACTGCAGGCTGACAAAGGGAAGCTACATCTTCATAATAAGCACTGGATACAATCAGAGAAATGTCCCTTCGCTGCATGTGTAGGAATAAGAGATGGTGTGTTTGAGAGAGAGAAGAGAAGGAAATAGCAGCCTGTATCACTCTATCAGTGACTTCACTGTGCCAGGTTTTCTATATTTGGAAGTTTCTTGGGGTTCCCCATACCCCTGGACACAAATTCAAGTACAAATCGTTCCTTTGCCTGGAATGTTTTACTCCCTGGAATGTTCTGCTTCTAAGGGCTGGTTCCTTCTTGTCTTTCAAGTCTCATATTTATGTCACTCCCTTCCCTGACCACCCAGTCTAAAGCAGCCACCAGCCACTCTTCAGTAAATTGTAATCACCCCATGGCACCTAATTATTTCTGGTAGTGATTTCCTTGCTTTGGGGTGTGTGCATAGATTTCCCTTCAGTATTATAATGTAAGCTTTTTGAGAGTAGGGATAGTCACTGTCTTTCTTCACTAATCTTTCACCAGGTCCTGGAGCAGGGCCTGATGCAGAGTCAATGTTCAAAAATGTTTTTTGAGTGATGAAGCAAGAACAGACCAACAAGAGGCAGACAGCCCCTGAGCAGATTATTCAAAGGTGATGCAGCCTCATTTGTCCTGATTGACATTTTACCTAGATATGCCCAGGGCTTCTATTTTCAGACCCCACCAATTTCAGAGTTTTTCCTCTTTACAATACTTTTCCAACTGACATCATTTATCTTGTGAATGAATACGAAGAATGCAGTAAGAATCCCAGGGGAGAGAATTACATTAGAAAAGTTTATCCAACTTACTTAATTTGGGAACCCTCCCACTTTTCCTCATTTGTCCTATGTTCTCATTGGATTAACATCTTGCTTTAACATGATGG